GGCTCAGGATACAAAAAAAATCATAAGAAAAGAGAAGAGTGTAGCATGCATGCAGTATAGAAAGAATCCTACACCGTATCCGTTATTGACTGTGCGGTTAGTCGCGAAAGCGTACGAGTAAGCGTACCCGGCGACCAGGACGTGAGACGATAGTCTCGTTCGTATTTCGTGATCCTACAATCTCATTCGAAGTCAAGGCGGCGTGGTCTGATGATCTGGACGTGAGACTGAAGTCTCGTCCATAGATGGTGTACATGACACGTGCTGTTGAATGGGACGTGAGAATTAGGTCTCTGATGTGTCTAGCGTGGGACCTGAAGTAGATGTAAGGATCCCGCTAGTAGGTTTGATAGGCATAGCATTGAGTCTCAAGTTATCGGGTAGGGCACTGTCATCGACGTGTGCTGGTTTGAGACGATCAGTGCTGATTATCTCGACGCAGCCAAGTTGATCAACCTCGAAGGTCTATTCATGACAAGAAACCACATGAAAGGGTCCTTCGTTAGGCCGTTGCAAAGGTTTGCGTACCGAATCTACTCGTGTGAAAATATGTGAACAGCTAGATAGCTCTCGGAGGAGAGCGACCTGTTGATGTTGTATTTGAGTTGACACAGGAGGCAGGGTTCACATATATTCAGACAATCGTTGAACCTAGCCTGATTCACCGAAATCGTTACTGCTCCGTGGCGTGAAAAATTCCCCAGGCAGACGCAATGTCTTGCCGTATACAAGTTCAGCGGCGGAACACTGTATATCTGCCATTAAGCTCCTTCTGATATCTAAGAGGATGAGCGACAAGGTTTCGTACCAGTTGTCGTTTTCGTGTGCTTGAAGAGCACTTTTGAGTTGGCGGTGTAACCGTTCAACTAAACCATTTGATGCTGGGTGAAAGGCGGTAGTGCGCATGCGTTCCGTAACAAGCAGCCGGGTTAGCGAGGAGAATAATTCGGACTCGGATTGTTGTCGTCTGTCGGTCGTGACAGCCGAGGGACAACCGTGCTGCGCCATCCATCGTTCCACGAGGCGGTGAGCAACTGTCTCCGCCGTAATAGACGTGATGGGTATAGCTTCGGACCATCGTGTGAAAAGATCGATGCTCGTGAGTATGTGATTGTGCCCGTGCGATGGTGGCAATGTTCGTACAATGTCTATATGAACGTGACCGAAGCGAGCATCAGGTGTAGCGAACGTGCCGATGAGGGCAGCTAAGCGCCTGTGCACCTTTGATCGTTGACATTGTAAGCTTTGCTTTACCCACATACGGACATCTTCATTCATGGATGGCCAGACGTATCGCCTGACAATGAGGCGTAGTGTGGCTGTGATACCTGGATGAGACAGTTCACACAGGGCAGAGGGTACGATGGGTTTGGGAAGACCAGTAGAAGTATCGCACAGGATAGTACCTGAGTTAGCAGCTAGGGGTATTTACCGGTGCTGAAAGGAATGCAGAATATTGTGCTTCTGTATAGGAGGGAGATCAAACACCGGTAAAGTAACTGCATTCACTTGAGTTCGTGACAGAGCATTGACAAAATTGTTCTACTCCCCTCTAACGTGACAAAGGTCTGTCGTGAACTAAGAGATATAGTCCAAATGTCTGCACTCTCGTGGTGAGCAGCGGTCAGACTTGGCATGCAGAACATACATTGAAGGCTTGTGGTCGGTGAATAAATAATGTGGCGTCCTTCTACTGCGTGCCGAAAAGGTTTGATTACACAGTAGGCTGCTAGCCGTCCTCGACCGAAGGTGCTATATCTTGTCACCACAAACGTGGCGCTAATGACCTTCCTGAAAAACAGTATTTTCAAACATTTCAACGATCTCTTTCTAAGTACGTCGTTGAGAGATAAACCAGTAGGAATCGGTAGGACTCTCGGTTATTCTGAGCATTGAATTTGTGTGTCTTAAACTGTAGTACTCGAACAAAGACGTTACCCCTGGTCTGATTATAGTTTGTTCTGCTGTACTGAGGAAGCGGCTTCAGTTTTAGCAAGACCGCCTAGCTTGATGTTCTCACATTCGCTGAGCAGAGTCGCGGCGTCAGAAAATTGAAGGCGGTTAATATTACACGAATTTTTGGAGGAGGTCAACGCACCAAGCTTTCAAGCTGAAGACCGGTACAACTTACCTCAATACCCTCAAAATTTATGGAGTCCATTAAATGCGAAGGTCTACGTAAACACATACTATCTATAAACTTCAATTTATTTTATGATCAAGTTTACTTAGGTATCTACCTTGAGGCATCGGTGATCCACTGCTACTAGATAAGGAAGCTCGTTAAATGAAAGATTCTATTTCAACCAGATTCGTTTAACGCATTGAAAGTGATTGGACATTGAGGGTTGCAGCGAATCTTCAAACTGTGCGTTATGTGACTAAGTTATTTGTGAATCGTACGGGTTATTTGCTTAACTGATTAACTAGAAGATATTGCATTCATTAATATACACTCCTCCAAACATCGGTTTTACTTTGTGCTGTACATATGACGTGAAATATTGACTCATAATACATTATTCAGATTTCTCCATTAAATACAACAGACTGGTTATTACATAGCGGCATTTCTTACGCTTGTTTACAGTTTTTAGTAAAACTGAAAGTTCAGAAATTCAGACAGCTTCTGATGACATGTGCAGGTTTTATCTATGACCTTGCCAGTCATGTTTATATATTTTCGTTCACTTATGTGTCTGTAGTCTCATTAATTGTTCATACTTAGTACATTAACCTTACAAATAGTACTAATCACTGCGAATGGAGTTGGATCTGCTGGTAATGCATCCACTCTGCACCCAACTATTACCGTCTGTCTGCTACTTAAGTAGCAAACGGTTATATTGCTCATTTGCTACTAACGGCAATTAGTCAGATTATGTGTGGATGTCGTTGACAAATTATATTGCATCACTGTTATCACGTAAGATCAAATTGGGGCCAAAAACGGGAAATATGTGCAAGTCGAACATACAAAAACAGTACAATTAACAATGTGATGATCAATAATGGGATACATGGAGCATATGCTTTATGACTAATTAATGGTTTTCCAAAAGTATAAACAGAATGCGTGCGTATAAAATCTACTTCCTGGTGAAATCCTCTACAGTGAGACCCAATCTAATAGTCTTATAAATCATTGCGAAATTTCGTCAAAATATGATAAGTCGACCTTGTGTTATCCCAAAATAATGAGGATTAAGTGTCAGATTTTTCTCAGTCAGCACGGTAACATGCGTACCTAATGGTGAACGAGCTTAAACTTAGTACATCAATATAAAGCTTTCCGTTCCATGAAATGTCAGTTAGCTTCAGCATGATGTTATCAATCCCCTTTTTTTGTTGTCCCTCTTCTGAAAGCACACGAACAGTTATCCATAAGTCAGTGACTAAAAACAGCATTTAGCTATTACAAACTTTATAAATGGGCACAAATTCATTCGATGTAAGCTAATTGCAATATCAGTGTTTTAAAAAGCCTTGTGATCGTTGCAAATTCTGGTGTATGACTCATCGTTATGAGCAATATTCAGAATAACAGGTGGTCATTATCTCGCAGTTACACATAACTAGCAGTGTCACATACTACAGTCCCGTTAATCACATGCCGACCATCATCTTATTTTTCATGCATTCATCTTCAGAACGTATTTAACTGACAAGAATTTAACCCTTAAGTTCACCACCAACTCACGACGTTTAAAAATTAAATGTTTAGAAAATAACGCAGATATGAATGATAAGATAAGCACGATCACAACTTTAAGCATAGTACAAGTGACCCAATCTTTAAAATTCAATTCGTGTGCATTTAAGTACTTAGAACAGTACTATATGTTCATGACCAGTAACTGCTCTGTTACTCTAATATCTATATCATTTAAGTCTGATCCTGTTCATGAGGTCATTCGTAAGAACAGTTAATGGTGAATCTCTCTGCAGCCAAAATTATTTGGCACCCAATACAACAAGTACGAAGCAGGCAATCGTTAGTAATGATGACTAATATGAACACCTCACAACCACACGCTTACATAGGATTGCCATAAAAACACTTATTCCATTCACTTGCCCACCAGTACCAGGAAGAAAAGGTAAAAGTGGGTTTATATATTCTGTTTGGGACACGTCAACCCAAAAGACATTTCAGACTAGATTAGTAAAAGAAGTGGTAGGGTGAAAGATAAAAAAATCTAAAGACTCGATAAATTTAAGGTCTTTGCATCATACTTCATTTGAACTGCTAAACACGTCATTATAGTTCTACATCGTGAAATGTACTTATGTATTTATATTAGCCCTTCTATTAATTGAAGTTTCTAGGGATTTCTTATCCCAGTATTTAGTCGCTAAGCATATACAATACAAATGGTCTTAAACAACTAGATCAAAATTCGTTTGTTAATTGTATGTGTCTGTTGGAGCTTAAGTAGGTCTTACTCTGTAGATATTTGTTTCAGACCACCAGTATATCTTCAATATCAATCATCATTTTAGTGACGAATCTCACTTGAATGTATGGTTCTGAGAAACTTTTGTCTTGTGGGTTGTACAGACCCATGTAATGAAGTGTTCGAGTAAAGGATGCATCAGGACACTGGAAAACGTTTTACGTGCGCGATAAGTTAGATACTGGGTATGTTTATAAGGTTCTCTAATAATGGAAGCTTTCAGTGGATTTAGCCAAATAGATCTCGTTTTTGACAAAGTATCTAAAAGATCATTCGCTTTAAAACGTATCCTATGCCATTCAAAGGATGATGAAAGTAAGGCTTTAAAAGAAGCTAATTTCCAATTGAATCTCCCTGATCATCCCAACTTGCTTTCCTGTATCGCGAGTGGCCTACAACATGTCTCTAGACGTAAACAAGGAGCTATTCAGAAGTTCTTTTGGTGTTATCTTATAGCAAGGTATGTTTTAATGTATGTCAGATGAAGTATTTTAGCGAGGTACGTTGCAACGTGAAATTGACCATAGATCTGCACGTAACGTTATGTTCCCCCTGTACCTTATAAAGACCATGATGATTGGTATTTGCGATGGCCTTATTGCTCTTCTTTCTTTTGATATTCCAATGTCTCATCGGTAAGACAATTATACTTGTAGACATATTTCTCTATAGAGATATAAAGCCTGGGAATGTTCTTTTGTTTGAAGAAATGAGACCAGTTTTAATGGATTTTGGCTCTGCTACTCCCTCCATTCTTCCTATTGAGAGCATTAGAGATGCAGAAAAATGGAAGGTAACATTTTGTTACTAGATCTCATTTTTCAAGGAGTTTGCTGAGGAAAACTGTTCACTAACTTATCGGGCTCCAGAGTTGTTTAATCCAATAACTTACGAAACCATAACCGAGAAAGCTGATGTTTGGGCAAGCACTTTCTTACGGCTTTTATGCCTGAATACTTATTTTAGTCCCTAGGATGTCTATTTTATGCTCTGATTTTTTTCAAATCCCCAATGGATTTCGTTCATGCGCGGGGTGATAGCGTTGCTCTTGCTGCTTGTTCAGCTAATATATATTTCCCAATAGATTCGTGTTCAAAGTAAGTGTTTTTTAAAGACATTTTATAGTTATTAAAATATTATCGTGATTTTGCGATGGCTAATCACCTTTTGATCCGATTTTAGGATACAAAATTATTAGAGTAGCGATATGAATAAATTATATCTTTATTTTACATGCGATTTCAAGTTGCTTAATCTAATGCCCACGTTAAAACCTGGTCGATGAAGTTTAATCAGCTCTAAGAACCAGTCTAACATAATATTCGCCCCTCAATAGAAATTAGGCCCTCTAATTTAATGACGTCATCAGCTATCGCTTTGTTCTTAGACCAAGTTTCTTAAGGTAACTCAATGCAATATTAACGTTGTTACGACTGTTCTGTTCTTTACGGCATACCACTCAATAAAACATTCTTTTTTACTCTCCTTTATTTAATTTTTCAGAGTTCCACTAGAATTGATAAAGTTAATGAAAGCAATGCTATCCGCTAATCCTCAAGATCGTCCCTCACTTACTCAAATTGTGGAGTCCTTCAAAAACCTACCTGAAGAAATCATGTATTGTAACAACCAAAGTGCAATAACTTATTCTTTGTAATCTTGACTTAGTTTGACTAAATCCCACATGAAATCTAACCGTAAATCTTTCAATCTCCTAATCTTTCTCTATACTATTTACGAAATACTGAGAAGTCTTTCTAAGCTTTTTACCTTGACTTTTATTCTCTGTACTTTTAATATTCGACACAATATTGCATGGAATTCCAGAACGGTTTTGGCTTTTAGTCGAAAATGAAATATTACTAAATATTTCACAAATACATTTTTTGAGGGCTTTTATATGACGGAGCACCCGAGCCGAAGCAAGATGCTGTATAGTGTAGTCGAGCTGTTAAGATTCATAAATTAACTAGTTTAATGCAACTCAATCCGTAGGACTCATGAATGTTCATACTCGCAGAAGCAGTTTCATGAGTCCTGAGGTTAGTAACCATCGATTTCTATCTTACCTAGGTACTTATCAGATAATCTTAGTTGTATTATCACAAATAAAATCAATGTAAAATAAAATACAAGTTTGAATCCGCGTAGAACACAGCAGTGAACAAAGTCAAGACGACAAATACTTTACTATGAATAGTATCAGAAGCGAGGTGAAGTTTAATCTCGGACTGTTTCAGCTTAATGGACTGTCCGCGAAATTCCGCTGCTTAAAAAATATTTTGTCTTCAATAGCAAAATTATGGGGTATTTCGACACTTATCTACTCGACGGATTGTTATTGTGGTGACCAGGTCCTAAATCCGCAATCTGTTGAGTGATGTAGCGGAAAGGGTTACCTACTAAATAATTATTTTATTATATGCAGAAAAAACAGCAACTTACTGACAGCCAACCTTTGGTAGGTACGTTATTGTAAATGTCTTAGATTACAGTTTATGTGATTTGACAAACTCCAACCACCTATATCTATGTGAATGTTTCGTTACGAATAAACTAAACAGCACGATTACTTGGCTAAATAAGGTAACTAGGGTGTTCAACTCATGAACTCTGCATCGTCCAATTTTGTCTAGTCTTTATGACCCGAACTTTACATCTACAGTTATTAAAATGCTTTAGAATATGTACGCTACCAGTCAGTCAGTAACAACGAAGAACTTCGTACGTACGTACATCAGTTCGAGTTGCCACACCACATTAGCATAGGGATGTAGTGGTCGATTCAAATCCCGTAGTAGTAGAGGTAATAAGAGTATAAGCAGTAGTCGGGAAGATTAGTGTTTGGAGATGTTACTTAAAGAGTATAATACAGTGAAATAAATTTGGGAGGAGAAAAAAAGAGACAAGGAGGGATAAGGAGATCAAAATTTGGGAGAACACAAAGAGTAGATGCACCTGCGCCATTGCAAACGATTTTGAGCCATGTCATTCAGGGTCTCTAACCATCGGTTGCTATCATCTCGCGGTCCCCAACCAGGTAGTCTACACCTACCAACATGACTCAGACCACTTGTCAGTGGCTTCATGGACTTGTGCCATGTGTTGGTTTGGCCGCCCCTAGCTTTCTTCCAACCTACTCCTATACCACTGAACATCACACGTCGAGGCAGTCGGTCGTTGGGCATACGTAACACATGTCCAAGCCATCTCAATTGATGAAGTTTCATTACGTCATCAGTTGATTTGCCATCCTTACCTAGTACCCGTTTCCTAACAACTGCACTACTTACTCGATGGTCCCAGGATATATGAGCAATATTTCGAAGACACATATGATCAAATACTAGTACGCTACCAGCTGTCATCAAACAACATAAGAGGTATAATGTCTAGATTTCTCATATATAAATGTTCGTTGTACAAAAAAGTAATTATTGAATATAGAAAAAAATAAAATTCAGCACTATTATAAAAATAAACATATTATGTACAGGAAACCAGAAAAAAAGTAAACAATATAGTAAAGTAGAAAATAGAAAAACAAAAACTGAAACCGATAAAAAAAATACATACATGATTATTGGTCGTTTTCAACAATTAAAATAAACATTATGCTCATGTTCATGAATGCTACTAATAATAAACAATTACATTAGCACAGACCAATTAATGGCTTTTAAAGTATATATATATGTTAATCGAAGAAAAAACAAAATGGTTATATGAAAGACAGTTTTAATTTTACGAAGGGAATTAGTTACATATTAAAGAAAATGTTTTTAGAAAAATAATTAGTATAAATTATTCTATTACTAAATATATATAAATATTATATTGATTGATTCCATTGTCTTCTATCTATATCGTTTAATTAGTCTTAAATGAATATAAGCTACACACAAGGCTAAAATTGCAATCACAAATATACCCAATTCATTTAGCCAAACTGCCCATTTTGATCGATATTCAATTGCTTGCGATTCTAAATACTGTACACCGCTAATGCTGTATAATTAAGTGAAAATAAATAAAGAACGTGAGAATAATAACAGATGTTTTAATTAAATCAATATCTTTTAAGTGTTGAACCAGCACATATCCACATGAAGTACAAGTGAAAATGTGTTGAAGATTATCTACTAAAAAGTATACAAACATAGGAAGTTTCACTGTTTTGATAGTTTTCAGTTCTATTGGAAAAACACTGCATTTCAGGTTAATAGGTTGATGCATTTCGAACCAGTTTACACATTTTATATTGGGGTGATCAGTGTGTATAGTTAAATTATTGTACCGTACAATCTACAGTTGATTTCCTATCTTCGAGGAAATATCTGTAGGTAGGAAATCTGGATCGATATTTTACTACAAGCCGTTCCTGATAGACAAGTTATTCATGATAACTATCATAAACAACCTAGCCAACCTTGAGATATCGTCGCTAACCATTCGGAATGTTTCGTCTAATGATTATGATAATATCCATGAGACTATTTTGAAAATAGATGGGGGACTCGTTCTTACAGGCAGTGATCTCACCAACCACCACAAGCTGTTTGTCACCTATGGAGAAATTCTCATGAACCACTTCTATTTGAGCTTTAGTGGGGATGACAATGTCAGGAAAGACCATGAAAGCTTCAGAATCAAATCATTCAGGTTACAGAACGCAATCGCACCAAGATTGTAGACCTTTATTACAAACTCGTATTTCGATAGTCTGAGATTGACAGTTTAAAGAAGTGATGAAATGTAGAACATATATAAAAATATATGCTCAAAGGTGTTTAAGAATTTACGTGTACTTACGGAAGCAAGTACACAACGAAAGAACGGGGGGTTTACAGGGTTTTCCGAACACATTCCCCATACGTTGTTTCTGAAAGGAAGTACGGGATTCACAAGTGTGATCACTACACATAGTGAAAGCAAAGTGGATGCCGCAAATGCGTTCCAAATAATCAACAAGTAGCATATGCCACCTTACTCCGCTTTTCAGAGGCCATTTACACTACGCGCTTTCAACCTGACCTTTGTATACAGAAAGTGATAGACCTCTAATCTCAATGGTAACGTTTGTCAATTACATTATCTCTATTGTACTTTATAAGTAAAAAAAAGTGAGACTGATATTCGCTCATGACGTTAACTTTAGTGTTACGTCAACTAGGTAACCTTAGTTACCACTCATTTATTAGGAATTTGTTTTTTATTCATTGTTCTTTTAATATATATACACAACCAACTGAATTCGATTAAAAGGAGTATTAGCTTATGTATTAGAAATATAGTGATATTACATTGTAATGATTTAAGAAAATAAGATAGAACTAATTACCAGATAGATTCTAAATTTTGAATTTTTCCAATTCCAGTTTGAAAGTACTCAGTGTTTTTCCATTCATTTATCAATAATGATGTTGCATTTGAATAAGGCGAATCACTTGCATTAATGCGATTAAAATCTACAGACGATAATTTTGAATAAGGTAATATTGTTTCAGGACAAAATGTCATATCAAATATTCATTTATTGTTAATATGTTTATAGCATAACGTAGTATTGAAATATAACGAAATAACTGAAGCCATTTCCATAAAGTTGATATATTTACTAAATAACCACTCGTTACCTAAAAAATAAATAAACAAAACGTATTTTGTAAGAAAAAGTTAAAATAAGACAAACTTCATGATATTGTGTGGTGATAAGAGATAATATTACGATAGTTTGGGATTATTCTGAGTAAGAACAGTAACTGTGCATAAAAGTGATGAGAGATAAAGTAAACTAGTGTACGATTCGATCAACAATTAGTTACATTCATTAAATTAACAAGCAAATACTGAGAATTTGAGCCTATTAAAAAGATAAACGGAGCTGTTACTCAATAGTTTGTAGTTTCAACTAGTTGATTTATCGTATAAAGCAACCATAAATAATAATAATTTTATTAAGTACTATACACCTGGTTACATTAATGATTCCTCAGCACCAATTGTTCAATATTGTAAAGAAAATTCCTATTTAACTTGTAATTATTCGAAAATATCTTTTATAATTATTTTTCAATAGCCAATATATGACCACCCAAATTCAATCAGGGGATATTTTTGTTCAGGTTAGTTGTTATAACTATTTCATTGCATATATCATAAATTAGGTGAATAGATTTCACTATATTCGTCCCTCTTTTTTCAAAGGATAAACAAGACGTAAAATATCTCAATAAATCCAATATTTCTGTTTGAGTTTCCCACTATTGAGCATTTCAAACATTTACCAACCTTTTATAACAATACCTGAGTACATACACTTAGCATTCATATCTATTCAGTTTAAATACATTTAAAACAGGAAAGTTATTTGCAATATTTGTATAGTTGAGAAATAGGTCGTCGGCAGACTATTAAATTCTAATATCCCCAAGATGATATCTACACACACTATGAAAACGGTTTCAAAAAGTTATTATTCATCAATATTGAATATAAAAATATTATCATTTGTAATGATGATGAAATAGCTATCTAATCGAAAAGTTCGTCTTTTTCTCTTTGATTATACAAACTATAACTTCTTTTTAGAAAAAAGACAGCAACTAAGAAAACTAATCAACTTATAAAACACAATCACCAAGAAAAAGGAAAAAAACATGTTGTTCCACCAAAATTTATATCTAACAAATTTTACAACACATACCATCATTAGAACAAAAAACATAGATAATAATATTGATCCGATTCGTTGATCATTTACCATTGCACTGACAGCAAATGTAATCGCTGATGCACAAAATGTTAACAATCCAATAGTGAGTTGCCATAATAAAAATGGATATAATTCATAACGAAGACCAGTTAAATAATATGTTATAGATAAACACAAAAAAGCTGGTATCACTTTTATTGGTAAAACATCCGATAAAATTTTAGAAAGAAAATATGCTGAAATACGATAAAATCCAGTTGATGTCTCATGTCTAATTATTGGAGAGAAAACAAATAAACAATAATCAATGAAATAATTATTTGTAATTTATTGTAATAACTGATATGTTAATTAGCAGGTAAATTTAAAAAGAGATATGATTTTAGGCAATTCATCGTTCAGGTAGATATTTTTCTATTATAGATTTAATTTCTTATTCTTATAGTTTGAATAATCTTATTAGGCAGTTTTTTTCATTCAACTCATTAGAATAAATCATTTTTTAAGATATCTCAGATTGAGTGCTCTGGAGGAACAACAATTTATATATTAGGACACCAGTAAAAACCTGGAAGCATTGGACGGCCATTTCACTTCATATTGGGGCTCCTCAGCATTGCGCATACGCAATCACATACGCAGGACTAGAATCCAAGATCTACGGTCTCTTACCGTTCAACGTTTCTAGGTTTTCAATGGTGGTCTAACATTGGTCGGTTCATGATATCAAAAAAAACCCTCAAAAATCTCCACAATCCTGTACTAATAATTATCATGTGCTCACTAGTGACTAGCTTTGAGAGCTAATTTTCAGAGTTCTAGTAAGAAGCCATGACCAATGGAGTCCAATCCGTGTCAGGTGTAGACAGTTATCCACTTAAAACAATGAAAGGTTGCGCAATCTCATGGATCAATTAAAGTTAGACATCAACAGCGTTGAATGCCGACTTAGTGGTCTCGAGTTTAAGAGTTCGCGCACGGGATCGCAGATGCGCACAACTGGGGAGTCACACATTGGGACGACGCGCCCGTCTAGTGATTCCAGGTTTTTAGTGGTGGTCTTATATTGATTATTTCACGATCTCAACGAAATCTAAATACTCAAGTATAGAGGAGAGGTTATCTATCAGGTTTGATTGTCCAATATGTGCGCTATATCAAGGCGTTTTGGAGTACTTCGAATTCATTTTGTGAGTGAAGGTTTACAAAATGTGTAATTGCCACTAAGAATTTTATTTTAAGCCTTAAATTCAATTTTATTTGCTTTTTCACGTGACATATTAGGATGAGCTAAACTAACGTATTCATGACTAACAGATGTTGATAGCTTCAGAATTTTGAAAGGGAATCTGAAGCAAATTTACACTCTTATATGCAGTATTCACACACTAAACGAGCAGGAAAAACGCTAGATACTGCACATTTATTGTACATTATAAAACGGATAACTTCGCAAGAAGGTATTTATGTACTGTTGTGTTCAAAAATTTATATTGAATTGAGACGAAATCAATTGAAATCATTCAGTGTATCAGATATTAACGATAGTTAATATTAAACTCATCAAGATAAACTTACATAAATATCAAACGATCTTTTAAAAACACTTCCAATAATGTCCCGCTAATAAATAATAAATGTAAACAAGTGATAAAAAATAAGCCCACACGATTTTGAATTCCAGATCCGCTCCATTTGTCCATGTTTAAATAGATAATACCCAAAAATAAGGCTATTACAAGTTGTATGACAAAATGTGCCAGTATTGTTTTGCCTGATCTGTATTGCAACGGTAGTAGAGTAAAAACAAAAAAAGAATGAAGAAAATTAGAATGTTAATGATGAAACAAACGGGCAAACCGTTAATCTTGATTGACTTTAAAGTCGATCTCTAAAGTTCGTCATTTATAAACATACATATGTTCAATTAAAAATATTTCGATGAGAAGCAATGGGACAAAATTGTAATGAATTCTTACAATAGATTGTTTCATATCAACGATTGAGGTCAATACTAATACAGTTCAGTTCATAGATTAATTACTCAACCACAAATCAATAGGGACAAGAATTTACAAAACAGGCATAACAATGCCATCAGTGAAACTGAATAATAAGTCTAAAATTCATTAACGATAACTTAAGGTAAAAATAAAGAACAACACTTTATACACCAAACAAAAGCTGACAAATAGGAGAATGTTGGAATATAATGACCCAATTGTCTAATAATTAGAGTAAAAATATGTACAACAATTCTCCATGAAAAAGTACAAATTTATTTCACAAGTTGAAATCATGAGTCAGTTGAAGCTAGACCACCATTGAAAACCTGGAAGCACTGGACGGCCGTTTCGTCCTGGCATGGGACTCCTCAGCAGTGCGCATCCACGATCCCGCACCACGCGGGGCTCGAACCCAGGACCTACTGGCTCCGCGCGCGAGCACTTAACCACTAGACCACTGAGCCGGCATCCAACGGTGTTAATGTCTAACTTCAACCAATCCACGAAGTTGCGCCACCGTACACCATTGTCTTCAGTGAGTTGTTATCTCACAACAGACCGGTTGGACTCCACTGGTAACGGCTTCTCACTAGAACTCCAGGAGTTCAACCGGTCTGTTGTGAGATAACAACTCACTGAAGACAATGGTGTACGGTGGCGCAACTTCGTGGATTGGTTGAAGTTAGACATTAACACCGTTGGATGCCGGCTCAGTGGTCTAGTGGTTAAGTGCTCGCGCGCGAAGCCAGTAGGTCCTGGGTTCGAGCCCCGCGTGGTGCGGGATCGTGGATGCGCACTGCTGAGGAGTCCCATGCCAGGACGAAACGGCCGTCCAGTGCTTCCAGGTTTTCAATGGTGGTCTAGCTTCAACTGACTCATGATTTCAACTTGTGAAATTTCTAGAATTCTCCACAAAACCCATTCTGACAAATTTATTTATTTGAACACATATATATTGGTACAGGAGTGCGCCAAATATATATGCGCCACACAAAACAATGAGAATTTCAAAGAAAAAAATGAGGAACCTAAAAAAAACAATAATGAAGAGATTGGTATAAGGGAGTGTAGTAATAATTATAGTCATAATGGGGGAACAGAAAGGTACAATCAGAACAAATCTTTCAGTTAAGGAAGAAACAACCACTTTTATGAAGAAAGTAAAAGGTTACAGCAGGATCGCCACTGGCTTCTATTCTGAGCCATATCTGATAACGTCTCTAGCCACTGTGTAGCACCATCTCTCGGACCCCAGCTACGGAGTCGTGAAGGACCAACACAAGCCAGTCCTTTGGAGCTTTCTTCCATACCACGACACCATGTCATATACTGACCACCTCTCCGCTTTATCCAACCAGTTCCAGAGTCGGCAAATAATGCACGACGTGGAATTCTCTGGGACGACATTCGTAGAACATGTCCAAGCCACCGAAGTCGGTGTTTCAAGATGGTGACACCAATTGAATTATCATCTCTGTGCCCGAACACATGATGCGGAACCTCTGTATTACTAATATGGTGTTGCTACTGGATGTCAGCAATCCTTCGGAGAAAACGATGATCGAACACAGAAAGTCGTCTAACGTCCTCAACTCGGGGAGGCCAAGTTTCACAAATAATTACGACTTTCACAATATTCGCACCATTAAAGCTGTTAAGTAATAAGTTCATATTGATAGAAAAAATTAATATGATAGAAAAGTTGTACAATTTAATTCTAATCAGTATTTCTAGTTTCTGTTGCGAAAAGGTTAATCTTATTTACAAATAACACACCAATATTTCGGTGAATTCATCATTCTCAGCAGAATACTGAAGTCAAAATAAGTGAGATTTTAAATCAACTGTTTAATACAAAAGAAAAGTAGATGACTTTATTACCAACTAAGTTAGGAACATACAAAGCTTCGAAATAAAATAAGAATTTATTGATTATATTTAGTTAGAGTATCATTGAAAAAGATAGAATAGACAGTAATTTTTGCTTAGTATGAGACTCTTTAAGAAGAAATACCAACGAGTCTGTCGGGATAGAACCCAGGACTGGAAATGAGCGTTTAATCTTTAGATTACTGAGTTGGTATCAAATGGTTTATATTTTGAACTTCGAACTATTTTTCTTTGGTGAGTAATTCACAACCACTATTTTACCTTCATCTTATGCATTTAGTAGAGATTAAATTCAATAAAGAATTAAGTTATTTTGCTGACAGTATTTTTTATTGGTTTATACCAATTCGGTTAAGATTTGGTGCCTACACTCTTATAGAGTGATTTAATTAGTAACTTAAGTCTAGCGTTAACATTTTTGAAATTACCTTAGGATCTCCATGACAATAACCTAGGACTAAATTATAATTACACCATATGACGTTTCCAGCTGCTGACATTTGCAATATCATGAAGTCTAATCAGTTTATTTTAGATTGCTTTTTGTAAGTCACAAGTGATAGTGAATCTTTGAGTCAATGAAATTTAGAGAATCTAAATTTCATCATATAGGTTTGAGTAACCTGGTACAATAACAAGCCATAGCGTAAAGTATGTACGATCTATTCTTTAAACGTTTCAAGTGATCTGTTTATACATATTAAATGAATGTCCTGTATTATTTAACAAGTTCTGTTTAAATTGAAAACTGCACTTAATATGGAAAAATATATTATGAGATTATCAAATGCTAAATAATTTCCATCTCTTAATTTGTACCATTTTTAAATACATATCTTATTAGTTTCCCAACTGTATAATAAATTAGTCGTTTTGATAAACAAGGGTATACTTATTTTAACCGGTACAGTGAAAATTAAACTTAGAAAAACACAAGTTTGAACCGTGTGGAAACATACTTATTAGTAGAATTTGTTGGTAGTTTCTTTTGAAAAAACACTGATAGTGTAGTGAACACGAACACCAGTGAAGAACAATCGAATGCACTTAAGACAAAATTACAGGACTTGTTAATAAAATCTAACAATCATAAAGTAAATGCTTAATTTGCAAAATGTCCACCAATTGTCTCAAAATGACCCAGACTTCATTGTTCCTGCATTTTCATACAAATTGCATCCCGTTCCATTCTTTACTGTTCGATCCTGTTGTCTCTCTGCTGCCAGACATTCTGTTCACGACTAACATCATATACTACTTATGTCAATATAAGTAGCACACATCACAGTAGGATTATTTCAGAAAAAAAGAAAGGATTGTGATTGCATATGGTACATACCTTTTCATACTTAAATATGATCGCCAATTAAGTGTAAACAATTGATAGCAGAATGTAGTTGAGCATTGTTGATAATTGGATGACTGTTTTTTGCATTTACAAGAAAAACAGTTAACTAATTTCGGACTTTTTATAGTTGTATCATAACAAAAGAAATTATTATTATTATTCATTGGTGCAGAATACAAATTATCCTGTTGAAAATCAACATTCTGGTAGTGAATATTATTGTCATCATCATCTTCCTGATTCGTATCAGAAGTACAAAGAGAACGACTCAACGCCCATAATTCGTCAAATTTTTCAATTTCTTTATTTATTGTTGATAAATAATTACCTGGTTGTACAAATTCGCAGTCAAGCCTAAAACGATGCAAAGGAAAAAAAGAACGTCATGTAGATAGGAAAAAGAGGATTCACGAATACAGAGAGAAAAACACAAACTGAATCAACTTGACCTCTGATTTTTTTAAACAATACAAGATAATCGAACCACAGATGTAGTTAATTTTCTGTTGGAGTGTGGTGAATCTGTTGTATGTACCAGATATGGGAACATTCATCCATAAAAAACGCTATTTAAAGAGAATTCTTCAGTGACAGATAGAAGGAATATTTACAGAAGCTCCACAAATACAATTTTTATGATGTTCCACGTATGGAGTCAAAACTATTCATTAAAACTCCACATAGAACTGAGTCGGTCGACTAGACGTTTTTTATCCAATCAGCAATATATGAAAAGTCTATCTATATCGGCCTGAATTGGAATGGAATGAGAATACATGGTTGGGAAGTCAATATAATGAAATGTTAGGTGAGTATCTTACGGATACGTGAAGCAAAAGAAAAACCTCTTTAACAGTGAAATCTTGTAGTTAGATTACTCAACTCGGCTTCATCTTACGTGATGAAGTGTAATTCAAAGCCAAATTTATAAATCTGGAAGTAGCAAAAGTTAAATATAAATATACCAATGATTATTGTATTAAAAAAATATATATCATTACTGTTTGTCTTGTTTGCTGAATTTCGTTTGTTTGCGCTGAATATGTTTAGTGATTGCCATTGTTGTTTTTCTTGTCGTCGCTGAATTGTATTTTTGATTGATATATAGTTTTTCCTGCTTCAATTGACCTAATCTATTCTGATAAAAATTCTTACTACATTCTGCAAGAAATGCTTTGCATCTAAAACGGGAAAAAGCAATATAGAGGAATTCATGAAGACAAACATTAAAGCTGATATGTATGCGACTTCCTTTAGGTGAATACTACTGGATTCTATTCGGTGTACTATGGTATACTGTAATGGTGAATCGGTCAAAATAGTTCTGATTCGGTAGTTTTGAAAATAACTTCAAGATTTGGTGTTGTTTACTTGTACCTTCCCATTGTTACTTCGCAATACGCCCAATGATTATATTTCTTCTAACATTGCTTATCTGTCTGTTGTTTATTTGAATATAGTTTTTACATAGCATTAATTGAATGCTGGTAGAATTTTTATTCCTTTAATTTTTTTCGATATGTCAGTCTCCTGACATAGATTAAAAAAACTGGACATATGAACGGCTTGTGATAAAAATTTGGTCGTTGCTGTGAAAATCTGAAATAACCTGAGGACTTACAAATCCAAACTTTAAATAGTCTCGTGGACTTCCTTGGAACTATCACAAACGTGATAGGATGAGATTTGTGAATTCACATATATTAAACTTGAATCAACTTTGACTAAATGATTTGTATATATAACTCCTAATTACTAGATAAGTAGTATAAACACGACTCATTCGATGAGACAATTTTTCTAATTTAAATCAGTATAGTTCAGTAGTATCATGAGGGGATCATTACATCAAACAAAACGTTTATTTGCAGTATGATTTTTCCTTCAATCCTAATTCTTGTATTTAGTTTCGAGCTTTATGTACAAATGACTTAATTATACTCAAAAATCGAAAAATTCGAGAGATTGTAACAACGTATATTTCTGGACAGCGATTAGTTTCAGATGTATTTTTGCTCATGCAAAAAGAAATATTAGTCACTGTTTATTAGATTTCGTAAGTCTGATCAGTTCATCAGGTGAACAAAACTAATGAAGGCATTTACTGTAAGTTTGGTAAGTTGACAACCACTGATTGAAATTTCATCAAACCTTTGAGTTTTACGTGTCTAATCCATCAGCACTTTATGAACAAAATGATAAAGACAGTTGTGTGGGAATACTGAGTGAATTCAGTAAAATCCCCGAAAAAAATGTATTTTATCATCATTTATCAAAGTGTCACCTGCACTTCTTCTGTGCGATAATTTCTTGAAGATGTTAAGTATCATAGAGAGAAAGAAGACTTACCATTGAACCATTCAGACGTTAACTGTTCTTCTTATAAAAATAAATTACGTGACACAGTTGAATCGCTTTGATTCTTGTCAAAGAAATTAAACAGTATATCACTGAATACAAGGTACCCAAATATAGAACTATGAAGTCTGTGGTGAGTACTACCTGAACTAATGAAATGTTAAGCAGATCAAAGTAACTGGATATTACACATGATTTGTAGTAAGCCAGATCACACCTAGTAAACGAGTGTTTATAATTCTAACTGAAAATAAACTTGAGTAAATAAAACTGTCACTGAGCTTATGATACTAATATTGCATCAGATTAGGTATGTAAATTACTTAATATACAGTCGTACAAGGTCAATACTGAAAGCTATTTCATAAAACTAACTACCAACTGATTAGTGTGCCATAAGTACATCAACAAATGAACTTCGTAAGAATTCCTATATTGATTTTTTTTAACCAATCATTTCAGAAATAATTTTCGTGTTATTATCACTTGAAAATATATTTCACAATCATCTTAGTGTTACATTAAAGTGTACTAACTATTCTCCAACGTAAAGAAAACAACTCAACATTGCATAGTTTTTAAAGTAGCCTTCAAACACAACATTCTTTTAAATAAAGTTTTAATTAAAAACATAGTGAATATGAAGGTCATTTTGTGATGGTTGGTTAGTCTCTGTTTATCTACGTTTTGTGATTAAAAAATGCACATGTTACATAGATGCATTGGTAAAAGTGTCAAAGTCAATATTTATCAAAGTACAAAACAAGATTCGCCAAAGCAATTTATGTTCAAAAGATTATGTACTACAAATCTCTTAGTTCATTTAGCTGTATGATATGATTTCAAGGGAAATAATTGTACAATAAAGGATGTATTGATGTGTATAAACATTGTTTGAAAAGACTGGTTTCTTTTTTAGGTAGCTTGTTTCAGTAACGGATATCTTGATGAGTGAAATTATTGTAGGTGGAACAAAGATAAGGATAGAATGAGCGGTCAAATTAAACAACGGAACCAATCCATGACATTAAGAATTGGCAGTACGTACGTTGTGTGAAAATATATGCACTTCAACGTTGTTGTAAAACATAATTTCATGAGTATTTATTCAGTGTAACATAGCGATACGTTATTATTGACCAAATAATATTTTTATTATACGTTTGTGTACTAAGTTAATTATTCAAAACTCCGACTAAAATTAAATGAATAGCACTGCTCCTAAATTATTCTTCCCTGCCCGAAAACAATATTGAGAATTAAAGTTTATACAGAAGCTTTCTTGATATAGACGCAAGGATATTTAGGCTTTTTATGAAATAAAATGGGACATTTATACACAGTGTCAACACAAAGTAAGCATGACAAAATGTAAGTAATTAGTCTTTAGGGCAATCATTTCCCAATCAACTAAAATCTGATTGTTAGGCCTATGTCTTGAGCACTGTATCACTTGAACATAATTTTCTGTTCACAATTACACGAAAATAATATGAACTACTCAGTTAGAGTGAATGATAGTGAGAGTTCAAATACAGACGGTTCAAAATTGATACAAATCAGTGATGAATTCCCTCCATTTTCAATGTATGTATTTCAATACAATTCTGTTTAAAATTACTTTGTGACAGTTTTTAATCATTTCTTCTCAACACATTCTACCATATACGAACATTTTGAAGGGGATGAATTAAGGTGCCGTGTTGAAATTTCTTTTCCACAGACAACAGAATGGATTAGAAAAGGACATTCAAAAAGACTAAAACCTTTATAGTATATATATATATATATATAATTGCTCATTTTATGATAATTGATCACATGAATTAGAGATAGTTTATCATTAATAGTTTGCAAAGAAACTTAGGCTGTGATAATGTTCAATTATGATACAATATAGTTGTAATGTTCTAATGAGTAGAAAAATGGAGTTTTCTGACGTTTCATAACTCAATGCAAACCACTTCTCTAGAGAATAAAGCAATGGTAGCGTGAGGAAGACAGTTGAAATACGTCAATATATTATCAAGCTGTAAAATCGTATATATATATATATATATATATATATATATATATATATATATATATATATATATATATATATATATATATGAAATTTTTTTGTTAAAGTACTAATTCCGTGAGGAAATGTGAACACGAATAACCAAGATGGAGAATAGAAGATTATAATACCAGATTACGTAATACGAATAATAACAATAGATTTAGTGAATATAATAAGATGATTAAAATGTTTTTGTTAAAATAATCAAAGGTCATAGAGGTGTAAAAATAAATAAGGTGATATGATGAGTATTTATGAATAAAAAAATGAGAATATAAGACAAGTAAAAGGGAATGCAATAATAATAATAATAATTAAGGCCAAGGTAACGATAACAATAAGACGTACTTCTTTTGTACGCATCGTTCTGGTTTGAGCTCGTGGATGGTAACAGCTTCGGCTATTTTTAGGAGTTGGATATGAAGAAATCTAGGTAGATTTGAACGAATCATATAAACAACCTTAAAATTAAATTGTGGATCCGTAGAATGATTACAGTCAATTAGGTGTTCAAGTATAGAACTCCTAACTGCTTTTCTTTCACCCTTGTAGAACCAAACTGGGACATGTTCCCGTATCCAATTTGAAAGCGAGCGCTGGCTACGGCCAATATACCTTGCTCCACAAGAGCAGGTGAACTGGTAGATGCACATGGAGGCGACCAGACGCGAAAGCTTATCTTTTTTGGATACAGAAAATAAGTTCTTACTAGAGAAGGTTATTCGCGGTTTTGCCGTATTAATCACTGTCATTAGACGATTTTTGATTACGTCAGATGTTCGACCCCCTTTAAATTCCAGACTTATATAAAGGTTTTTCTTTGGAACGGAACAACAAGATTTCCTGTCGCAACTACTTCTCTTCATATTCTTCTCTATGAAACGGTCCGGGTAGTCATTTTTCGTCAAGGTTTTTCTGAGGAATGCGAGTTCTTTGTCAATGTATTCCACACTGCATATCCGATGTATTCGATGAAATAAAGAGTAGATGAGATTTTTTTCTATTTGAAGGAACCCAGCTATAGAAGTTGGTTAACTGGTCATTCCATGTTTGTTTTCTATAGATGGGTCTTTTTAAGGAACGATTACTCCTTCTCATCAGACGTACATCGAGAAAAGAGATCGATTGGTCTTTCTCACTTTCTAATGTGAAGTCTACGAAAGGGTGGCATGAGTTGAAGGTGTGTAAGATATCCTCAAATTCGATATTATCGTTACAAACGACAGCTGTGTCGTCCATGTATCTTACGTATAGGTGAAGTCGATTAATCATTGAACTAAGTTGGTCGTTTTCTAGTTTCGCCATAAAACAGTTTGCTAAAATTGGACCCAATGGAGACCTCATTGCGATCCCATCTCTTTGTCTATATATTCCACTGTTGAAATTGAACTGGACATAAAAGGTAAAACGTAACAGTAGTTCTTTCAAGTGTTCCGTCAGCAAACCTAAATCTATACTGTTATATATACGATTGTGCAGCCTGATAATAAATTCGTTGAAAAGAGATCCTTTCTCTGAACTTCGTGTTTCAATTTTTAATGTTTAAATGGGAATTATTTGTCAATAGGTCAACATGACTAAAAGAGGTCTTTAATTCAAACGCACATTTCTTCCTACATATATTAACACACTTACTCTCTCCACAGTGTAGACTCTAGCCAGCACGCAATAAGCCTACGGCAAACCGTTTCACGGATAGTTTTACAAACATCTTTTTCACTTGTACCTACAATCATTTAAGAACACAATAAACATAATACATTATAATGTCAGTCTGAATGATTAGTCTTACAGTTTTTCTCTTTGGATAGCACAAAGTCGTATCAGTATGGGAAAAGAAGATACTTAGATAATGAAAAAGAACGCAGAATAAACTGTTTAATTTAATTACCATAAAGGCTTTTCAGTCCAAATCGTTACTGAAGGTAGACAGTGAAACTAGGCTTAAATATTAGTTATTTTCAGGCCAATATTTTGAGTTTTCAAAATGTACCTAACGTGTTCAACAGTTTGAAATTTTCATTCGTAACAATTAACAGATTGAGTTTTAATAGAACACACCAACTCATTATGTTCTCTATGCATTCAAAGTTTATCAATTTTTCATTAAAAAGGTTAATTGAAAGTGAGATTCTTGAAATTCAGTCTATCTCAGTAGATTTAAAGCAATTTACGAAATCGAGATGATTTAAGTAAGAAAATAAAATATTCAATATGCTATCACATTTCAGACACTTAATACAACTCTCTAAAACAGATAGGTAGACTACATCGACATTAGGAAAATTCTAGTATAAACCATAAAACCTGAATCACAAAAGCATGGGTGAACTATCTTTTTAGCAGGAGTAAAATAAGAGTTATTAGTTAAATAACTTTTCTAGTCTTAAAGTGACTGTGTTTGAAAAGCAAACAGTACGGTCAGTTTATCTCGCTAACAAGGAGAATTCCCCATAACAATTATTTTCTCTTTGACCCCGAAACTTGATACCATCGAAAAGACTAAATGAGGAAGCTGCACAGAATATATCAATTGAAATATGCAAAGGATCATTGTACAAAGTAAACATCAAAAGAAATTACTGCAGGATCAATAAAATAGACCAAAAATCCATTTATATCGAGATTTAATATTCCAATTAGCCCGACAAGTTTATTATTGACAAATTCAAGGAAAAAAATGTTCACCTATAAGTTTTACGAGTGGTGTTTGAAAGAGATTTTTAAAAAACGCTTAACTACTAGATGCTATTGTATTGTTGATAAATGATATAAGATACCACTCAATACTACACTAAAACTAATCAATAGCTATAAGTAATATACAACCAATGATATCATCCTGAATACTATTAAGTTGGTTTCATCATTTACCACGGCGTCTGACTGTTAGCTACAATCTAACCTCGTCAAAAACTTGTAATTAAATGTACTACCGAGATAATCATATGGAACACACAATGCTTTAAAATGAATAAATAAATAAGGATCAGGTTATACAATAATATAATCAATACGACTAGTTTATAATTAAAGGTAGAATTTAGTGATAAGTCATTTGCATTTTAGTAAATACATGAACGATAAATCAAATGATTGTTCTCTACTTCATGTTCACATTACCTGGAATATTCTCTTGTTGTACAACTGTTGCATCAATATCAAATTCTCCATGCAAAATATCCATGAAGAAATCTGCTGGATTATTATGACCTTCAATGAAATAACCTTTAAATAAAAAGTAGATAAGCTATGATTAGATAAAATTTGGTGATCCAATATATAACAAGCTTTTTGGTTGGAACCCATTTTTCAGTCCAACATTTTGTACGGAGAGTAGTAATACTAGTACCACTACCACCCAGTTACTTAAATCGATGTAGGTTGTGCGAGATTTGAAAAAAAAACAAGTGTTTGGAAATTGGATCCAAGACCTACTCTAAGTCTGTGGTCAGTATATTGGAAAAATATACATACATACATGAGAACGTCAGAGCTTCAAGATATAAATACATATTTCACAAAATAGTATGACATAATTATGATTTAAGGGAGGAAACGGAGAAAAAATTAAGTGAATAATATTAAGAGGACATTCTGTAATCCTGTTATGTCCCGACAAGAATAATGAATGGTAACTTTTGGGATCTATTGATGAACCAATACTAAACGTATATTTCTATTGTACAATTATTAGGTAACAAAACTATGCATACTCATATTCCTCTTATTATAAGCTTTATTTTGACCCATAAACTATTGTTATATGTTTTACCATTCTTTAGTTCTACCCAGTATATTAATTACTACCTCCCCTATTCACAGTCACATCTGCCTAATTCTTGCACAAATGTTGTTTCATATTTCATTGGTACGTTGTGGTCTGTTTGATTGGTATATAAACAGAGTATGTTTGAAATATAATGATTCATATTACAGAGGCTGAGACTGGTGTTCTGGCCTTAACTGGCTAGGCTAGGAGGGAGGCAGGACCAATCAGGGCTCTAGGCTGCTCGCACGTGTTTTATGCGTCCTTGGTCCGATCGATAGTCCGCTGCTTCTGATTGGCGGCTTTGGGCATAACAAATTCACAATGAGACAACTAGTGATTTCGCGTTTTTTTAATTGTAAAAATAGCATGTCGACCAAGACGGTGTTTCGGACTCCATAGAAGAGAGTACAATATGTCTGTACAACAACCAACTACTATTCTTCACTTAACTGTAACAATTCATTAACAATCAATCTGTGGGTTATTTAGACATTTTTCAAACAATTAAAAAACGCCCAATATCTGGAAGTTATACGATAAAACACGTGAAAATTAGCTTAATAATAGATACTTAGTATGAGGTACGTTGTGAGTCAGGGAAAGATTTAATAGAAATTTCAAAGTAAAATGTCAATAAAACAGTTAAACGGTGGTTAAAAAAGATTTATTTGAATATGCAATACAATAAGTAAGTCTGTAGGTCACTTCTAAATTGTTTACGTGAAAAAACACAACAGGATATAAATGGACTCATAAAACATCGTTTAGAATAGAGGTGGAGGAGGAATATCTCAGCAATGTAATAAAGTTGAATTACTAGTCTGAAGATTATATACTCGATTCTATGTGTGGCCGCATGACTTAAGATGTCCAAATTCTAAGATAAGTATTTGTTGCTCTCAGTTTCCGATGCCTTTCTATCTCTTTCATGATGAAAATTTTTATTAAAATGAACAAAAGTTTATACAAAAACACCCAAGAAAACCTTATTTTCCTAAGATAATGGCTAGTTGTTGGAGTTAAACTATCGACCTTCAAACATTGCCCCAGTTAATTTAGTTTGAGGAGCCGGGTAGTCCTACTTGCTTTCGCATTTAAAAACGTGTGGCTCATGATTGAATAGGAAATTTAATGCTTAGTTACTGAATTGCATAATTACTTATGGTAGGGGAGTTGACTGGTAAACAAAAACGTCGGACGAGACGAACTGAAAGATGGGAAGAATGTGTTTAATGATGTGAACAATCAACCTGAATTATACATTTACACATTGGTTTCTTGGAAATCACACTTCAGTGATTGCTGAAAAAAATAATCCATAAAAGAATGAAGCTAACCGTGACAATCTATGTTTGCACCGCAATAAACATTTACACATGTATGCAACACAGTTGCACACTTTAGAATGAGAAT